CACACACACACACACACACACACACACACACAAACACAAACACACGCACAAAAACACACAAACACAAACACACAAACACAAACACACAAACACACCGTGTAATGTGGTGAAATGGGAAAATACTACGAGCTAAACGCAGCGTCAATGCCAGTGCCGACCAGGCGCAGCGGGGAGGGGCGTGTGGAGAGAAGCGATAGCCATAAGGGGGGAGGGGTGTCTTGTGACCTACTGATGGATGGAACCTCCGATTCCTCACTACGAGTACTCGTACAGACACGTACGGAGTACGACGAGTATATCACACTACATGCAATCCAGAATACCAATAACCGTACACTCGGGTGAATTCAGATTCAAGTATAAGTATTCATAGGCCGAAATACATGTGCGCATACTCGTATCTTCATCGCATGTTTCCATTGTACGGGTACTTGCTAGTATTACGGTCATAAAGCCTAATGAGTGCAACGTTATCGGGCAACTACTCGTATTACGTAATGATGCTTTAAGCACTTGCATCGTTGTACGGAGTACGGATACAGTGCTAAGAGAAGTAGTATCAGCAGCAGCGTATATATATATACCCTGTAACAGTACCCGCTGCCGGATGAGTGAGTATGCTCCGTACTCCGTACATACGAGTGTAATGATGAAAACGTGCACCCGGTTGGACTCAATGTTGGTCCTTGGATGCCCAGACCCACAGGCAGCAGATAATTACTTCAGGGCTGCAGGTGCGTACCTGTACATGTACAGGCATATAAGCGGCGCCATTCAGTGGGACAAGCACTGTACAGCACCTGGCCGCACGCCTCGAGCACCTGTCGGTTCTGCGGGGTTTTTAGTGGCTCATCCGCTGTATCGGGCTTCACGCCAGGCGTGCTGGTAGCGATCAATCACGGCCATCCTGATTGGTCTCAGCCCATCACCATCCATTCAGGCCACGTCTTGCAAGGTTCATGGCCATTGGCTCTCTGATTCCCTCCCTCAAAGAGAGTCTCTCCCCCTCCCTCTCTTCCTGTGCCTCTCCATGAATTCTTCCACTGGTCGACCATTACGCCCAACTCTGCCAACTTTGCCCTCCATGTCCTTTTCCTTTTCTCCTTTACCATTATGAATATCCTCGACATCCTTGTCCCGCCTTGCTGTCGTCCGTGGATCATGGGTTGTCTCCACGGGCACCCTGCTCGTCATTGCGGACCGTACTCTACAACTTATCGGTACCGCGTACAGCAGAAACGACCTCTCTCCCTTGCCTGAGCCACGTAGGAACGGTGGAGTGCGAGCTTACCTTGTATTACCACTAGCAGCAGTGTTGGTAATGCTGACGTCCACCTCTACCGCTCCTTGCCCGGCTAGTTCGTTTGGGCTCCAACAGATACCGCCGGTCAACCGCCGTGTTTCGTGGGCCTCGACTGATCTGTCCGTCGACGAGACCCCGGGGCCCCACACGGGGGCATTACTCGAGATGGCATAGACATGTGCATGTCCTTTTGTTTCGTTTCCGCCACCGACCGCAACTGCGACAGGTCTGACCCCTGGGGCGAACAAGCCCCAGCAATAGGTGCAAGGGGTGACGCATCCTGTTCCTGTCCACCATGGACGAACCATGATGATCGAGATACCGGCAGTGCCGTACTCGTAGTCCTGTCCCAGCACACGAGCATCACGTCATGCCAACATACACGCCTATCCATACTGCCGACAAGTTACAGCGCAACCTCAACCCCCGTCCACAGTCGCAGGGCTGCAAAGTCAGCTTCGAGAAAACAGCTGTTCTGCGACGTGCGTTGATCAGTGGGGACGCATGTCTTGGCCACCGCGGCATGCTCCATAATACGACGGCCTCTCGAGATAGGCTGATGGATGTTGATAGGAATCAAGAGCCGTAGAGCGAGCTGACTGCGACACACCCGAAACATTACATGGCAGCAAGATAGACACTTGTGCCATCCATCCTGGCCGTGTCGCACACGAGCGAAACTTTAATGAAGAGCTTAACCCTCCCCCCCCCGGAGCTCAGGAGCCGGAACCTCGAAGCGGCTATCCGTAATCTGTACGGCTAGTCCTATGACAGATCCTCCCTGAACCTCGTGCAGCTAGTGTATCGGTAGATGAGGCTTTTACAGACTCGTATGAGTACTCGTAGATCAAAGAGCCCCGGCTCTGGCCCTTCTTGACACGTCTCACCGGATCCTTGACAGGACCTAGAGGACCTCGACAAGGTCCTGGCCTTGGAATTGCCGCCTTACCCAAAAGGATCTGACCCTGCCCAGAGGAAGCTGACCTTCCCGTCTCTCCGTACGGGCTGGCATGCAACCTATCGTCTTTCAAACGCCTACCGGACCGATCGGCTGGGTAGCTCTGCCCACGCTGTACCATGTACGATGCTCATTGGGGAAGCCCCCCATGTAATTCTGCAACCTGTAAATGCGTCCCCGGAATGACAGGGCCTTATCCTCTCCCCCCAACATCTCCCAACCGACTAAGCAGGAATACTGGGTTTGCCGCCCAGATTGTACGCGAAGATATCAGCAGGCGTCTTACCCCCTCCGATTGCCGCCCTTGTGCTGCGTCAGTCGTTGCCGGATGCCCATGCTGGGCCTGACCGCCACATGCGCAAGGCCTCCTAGCGATAGACTTGCGTATCCGGTGCGCATGCAGACCTACGAGTACCAACATTCTGCTTGCCATCATACAAATAGAGCGGCTCCCCCCCCCCCAACACCTTACCATAACATAAGCATTCATAGCTGTAGAGGGGCACACCGGGGACGGTGAGTCCTTGCATAGTCTGTCGATAAGCAGGGGACCCACGGTGTAAGACTACGACTCGTACGAGCAGGAATGTACGGATACATCATGTTCATTTTGCCGGCATAACACTACTGCCCAACACGTTGGGCTGAGGATGCAATGAAGAGTAAAGAGAGAGAGCTAGCGACGACATGTCAAGGTCCATAACGACAGGGCAAGTCTCCATACGACTCGACCGACCCATGCCGTCCCAGACGTACCCTGTACTCGGTGCTCGTGGTGGCCGACGGCTATTGCGCCCTCGTCCACCCGGACCACGTCCTAGTCATCAGGTATTGATCTCTCGTCTCTCGGACCGGACGTGCCCAGGTAGTATGTCGATCGATTGGGAGCACGAGACTGCAGCGGTGCAGTGGCAGGAGATGACGGCCTGCACTCGAGCACAGCAGCGTCCGTATTCGTCCGTCCGACCGTCAACGCGTCAGCGGGAAGCTTGGACCCGACACGCAGCATCGAAGAGTTTCCCTCCGCCCGTGACGAGAACCGCCATCGACGGACCTCCGTCACCGGAGGAGAAGCTACGCCATACCTGTGGAGCGCATGGTGCGAGCAGAGCCCGACTCTTGACAAAGCCGCGCACCGCACGTTGCCGTATGGGGCGAGATGGAAAAATTCACAACCCGTCGCACACCATCGGCCTGATATCGGCATGCATACTCCCTTCCGCGTGATGCATACACGACCTCTCTGGCCACTCTACATGTTATGACGAGAAGCGGCCTCGAGAACTCGCAATAGATGGCGGTCCATCGCAGCCAGCATGGCCACCCCCGTTGGGCCGGAAAGTAGCGGTCAAACATTGAACGTCTTTCCGTGGCGGTCATTGACCTCTTTGCCGTAGGGGTAAAACACTTGGTCCTAGGTTGACCTGCTGAGGTGAAGCTAGTAGTTGTAGAGAGGTTGAAAGGAAAGGGAAGAAGAGAAGAGGAAAGGTCAGTCAGGACCGATGACTCGTCATTGCTCGTGTCTCTCTTTTTTTTTTCTTTTTTTTTCTCTTTTTTTTTCATATCCTATTTTCTTCTTCATTTCTTTTTTGAGCCGATTACTGGAGATCTGGTAAAGGGGTCTGTCTTGAACACGTCCACTGTCACGCATTCTCGCTGACAATGAGAGGAGAGAGAGAGGAGAGAGAGAGAGAGAAGAGAGAGAGAGAGAGAGAGAGAGAGAATACAGGGATTAGTATTGGATTGGACAATAACATGCGAGTGTGTGCGGTGTACGGTGTCATGGATCGAACGAAGAAGCTAGGGAGGATGCAGCCCGATGATGATGAAAGCCCGACGTACATATCCTGCATGCGAGCGACGATCGCTGAGCGGGGGAGAGCGACGTGACGGATCTCGGCACTGTACCGTCATTCCAGACTGAGAGTTGACCCCAGGCATTTTTGAGGCGAGAAGGGCCCTCGCAGAGGCTGTGGTCATCTCTCTAGGCCATGACGAATCATCACGGCTTGAGCTGACAAGTGTCCGATGAGATAGACTCACCGGAGTCGGTCTCCCTCACCCTCAACACTGCCGACACGGAAGAGGGAGAGATGACACACGAGCCACCACAAGTGCGTACAGGACGTGACGAAGAGGAGAAAGAAGAGGCAGAACCGATCATGAGAAAGTCCGACTCTCTCTGCTCCTCCTCACGATCGCCCCTTGACGCCCGTACATCTCCCCACAGCCCGACGTCCCCGGGTCGTGGACACCCTCTCAACATGCCGTTCTCAGCCAACCATGTCCAGGGCACCGTCCTGTGTGTCGATGGTCGAGGTCTATCGCACAGCCCACCAGCGCGGGTACGTGCAAAAGAAAAGGTCGGATGGCGAGGTGGGAGGAAAAGCAGGCGGTCTGAATGTTGGCGAAGAGGAGGACGGATTTAAAAATTGAGGTCACCCGGCGATAGACTGGCACTTACTCCGCATCACCATGACTACCCGGGAGGAAAAGGGGGAGGGGCCCGGGTCCCTCGACGAGGTCCTGATCACCTCCATGCCTTGGTATTGAGCATCGGACCCCACTCGCCTTCTATGCTGGGATTTGACATGACATCGGACTTGACACGGCATCTCAGATGAGATCTCGCTCGAGTGGAAGCCTTGGCTTCATCATATACCCTCAACGTCATGCTCTATCGAGCAGGGGGGCCGACAGGGAGCCGTAACAGGAGAGGTGAGAACGCTGACGATGAAAGGACACCCTGATCACAACAACCACAGTGCGGCGGCCACCAGGAAAGGACAGGCGACGGAACTGATGCTTCACAAGCATCGGGAGCTTCCCCTGTCCTATACATGTACAACCACCGGCCTGTGCTTGACGTAAAACGCAGTACGCAACAGGTCATACGCCTTCTTGATGCTCTATATCCTCCCCCCCCCCCCCCCCCCCCCCCCCCCCCCCCCCCCCCCCCCCCCCCCCCCCCCCCCCCCCCCCTGAGATGGCGTTTATACAAATGCACGACATGCAAGATGTATTTACGTCCCCTGCGGAGATGAGTCGTATTCATATTACCTGTCGTCAGTTGAGAAGCTCGGACGGGCTTCGATACTTGTACCCAGACTCCAATGTTACCCCTGTTTCCAACCAGAGCTTTACATGTAGCCTGGTACAGCTCTGCTCGGTGTGGTAAGCACGGTCTATCCATCTTCTCTAACTGTGGAGATTCATGGAAAGGGGCAAGAGGGGCGGAATCGTCCAGGCCTTCCCGCGACCGGTGATAAGCAGCCGTCTTTATATGGATGCAGCAGAGCGAACGCATGTGAAAGAAAGGCCCTTCCAAGCTTACCTGTCATCTTCTCACGATCCCATCAATATGGAGTAGGAGGACGATGGCGTCTTGCCAAGAGAAGATGTCTTGTGAGGCCAAGAGGCAAGGAGAAAGTGTTTCGGAAAGGGTCAGGAGGGGCCGCAAGGTCCGTCTCGAGCTGAGCTGGGGTTCCTCCGTTCCCCGATCATCTTGATCGGGATTATTTTTTTGCCGTTCATCGCTGGCACTGGCAGTACATGTACCTCGGAAGCCTGATCAGAATCCCCTCCACCAGATATCACTCTCTCGATACGAACTCGTCTGACTGTGCGCTATAAGGGGGGGTACTACTGAGTACATGCATAGATGGCGCCGGCAAGCGAATGCGAAGTCATGCCATGTGAAGCTGTACGAAGGGTTGTATCCGGGCTATGCATGAAAGCCGGCACCGCGAAGTACACGCGGTGGATACGGGACATTATATCATACATATCGTACGATGCTAATGTCGAGCTTATCTGGAGCTGCAGATTCTTCACGTTCCAAGGCTAAAAGGAGGTTCGATTGGCTCTAAAAAAGAAGTTGATATATATCCCGTACACATGATCCGAAAAAAAAAAAAAACTAAAAAAAACACACAAACATTTGCTGGGAATTGTTGATATCAATATTTCCCGTATATCGTATACGTTCAAAGCTGTATGAAAGCAAAAAAAAATAAAGCCAAGTTATACCACCCAACCAAGAAGGCGGGTTAAGGGGGGGGAAGGGAGTTAAACATCTCCGGGCCCCCTGTTCATGAGAACACGCGGCCTGGCCGACGGGTAGTTATTAGCGTCCACCCTATGATTCCCATCCCTGCCTCCCCAAGCTTTGGTGAAAGAGTTGGGCATGGATGGCTGGGAGGGCACATTCTCGTATGTCACGGTCACCATGTCGGTCCTCGTGATCTGGTGCGAACCCGACTTATCCGTCGCCACGACACTGCCCGGTGGCGGGGTGCCGCCAGGGTTGCTGGGCGTCTGGGCGAGGATGTCGTCCTGGCTGCCGCCCTCGCCGAGGACGGTGAAGCCGAGCTCGTCCTTGGCCTTGGACGGGAACTTTCGGTGGCTCATCTCGTAGGAACGGTTGTTGTCGGTCACCTCGTTGGGGCTGGTGAACTTGTACTTGGACCGGGAGTTGCTCGAGAGCGGGTTGCGGTTGAGGAACTTCTTCAGCAGCGGCTGGAGGATCGGGATGGTGGAGGCGATCATGATGGTGCTTCCCTCGACGCTGTTTTGTCAAGTATTCGTCAGCAAAAAAAAAGAAGAGAAAGGAGATGCATTGAAACCATGACGGAAAAAAAGAGAGTATCAGGACTTACACAGTCCACACGACCAGGTCGGAGGTATCATCTAAAGACAACCAGGACTTGGTAAGTAAATGTCACGGGCACACGGTTCTTCGGGGGAGAGTGCTGTCGCATACAAGAAAAGTCATCTGATGCCAGGGACGGGATACGGGTTGTCTTGTAAACGGCGACGACACCGGAGCTAGGAGAGAGAGAGAGAGAGAGAGAGATGTCAGTAAGGCTTCAGGTGTGGGAGGACGGATTGCACAGGCGAGGACAGAATACTTACACGGAGCCGATTCCGAGGGCAATGCAGAGGGCAAACTTCTTCCTGAACGGCAGCTGAAGCTTGAAGAGAACGATGGCCGGGTAGATGGCGAGGTAGAAATCCACAAAGGCGGAAAAGCCTGCCGGGGGGGGAACACAGCTCTGTCAGTCCAACCTGCTCGGACGATCTGCCACAGCAGGGAGAGAGGGAGATGGGAGATGAAGGGACGGTCTCCAGGAGATGTATACTCACATCCGGCGTAGATGCAGTAGGAGACGAGTATGTCCTTGGAGAAGCAATCGCCCTTGACGTCAAAGGTCCAGAGGGAGTAGGCAGGCCTGCAGCGGCCGATGAGGAGACCGGCCGTGGTGAGGAGAGTCATCTGGCACCAGATGCCCTGCCACCAGAGGAAGACCCTGTGCCATTTTCCGGGGTTGAGGAGCTTGGTCAGGAGGTAGACGACGGCGAGCTTGGGGAGGCCAAAGGACATGACACCGGGGCAGAAGGCGGCGGTGGTCCAGAGCACGGCGCCCTCCTGCTGATCCTGGCTCAGGAGAGCCATGTGCTTTCCATTACCACTGGCGACGGCAACGGTCGAGAGGCTGGTGGATATGTAGCCGCAGACCTAGACAGCGAAGGAGATCATGGCGAGTCAGCTTCTGAGGAAAGGAGGGGGGAGATCAAGTCCACGGTGGATTTGACATGTATGGGAGATATGTCTCGTCGGCTCAACCACTCCCCCGTACACACAGGCGCGACGTGTGTAGATGCGTATGCGCATACGTGTGTGCAGATTGGGAGGGTTTCTTTCTTCTTCATATTCCTTACCAGGGCTAAGAGGGTCCAGTAGTCATCCTGCTGGAGTTTTCGCTGCACGTATCCACGGACGTAGACGCGGGCGATGACGAAGAGGGTGCTGAACGCGGTGACGGCCCAGCAGACGCTGACGATTCGCGGACCTTTGTCCTGGGCTTCCCACGCACTGGACCCTTCGACTGGAGACATTATTGCAGTCGGGAGAAGTGTAGATGTTGAATTGAGAAGAAGCGTTCAGGAGAGACCATCATCAGGTAACAAGGGGGCGGGGGCGAATTCAGATAAATGCTTTATATATTATCTTTCTCTGATGGATCTTTTTTTCTTTTTCTACTCCTTCGTTCCCCTTCGATTGCATGTATAACCCGGCTTGTATATGTGAGTTACAGTCTTCACTCTTAAATGGTCTGCCGGCATTGGATATTTTTATTTCATCTTCCCTCTCTCTTCTTTCTTTTTCTTCATGCTATGATTTAATCTTCCACATCCCTGAAGGGTTTCGCAAATAAGGGGTTCCCAAAGTCCCGGGATGGCCAGTCTGTAATCCCGGGTACATGATACTGCGACGTGGTTCGCAGTTTCTCAGTCGTATCATTCTGGAATACGGTACTTCGTGATCGAACTATATACCCGCAGTGCGATCCGTGCGGTGTTACCCCAAGAGCCTGCTCTCTCTATATTGATGGATGTACAGATACTGGCAGGAAATTGGCTCGCACGGGCGAAGAGCCTTCCCCTCTCCCCCTGGGAGACCTCGTTAATCTGATACAAGGAGGACCGGTACTCTTGACTGCATGTGCAGAATCTGTACCTGGACGTTGTGCTGCCCTTCGCATCCCATCCATACCTGTGGCTCCTTCCATGGGGTCGACCTCTTCGTGCCGGGCAAGTCGAGAGAGTCAGGGATGCGTATGCACGATACCTGTCATATACTCGGGACGGGTTTCCTCCCGCGGTGCCCGTTATGGAAGCGAAGACCGTGTACGTTTGATTGGTACCCTGGCATCTTACTCTGTCGGACCAGGCAACAGACTTGTCCGCTCGTAGAATAGAGTCTATCTATGCACACGCCCAATATAGTGTACGAGGCGTTGGCGGTGCAGACGACATATCTGCCCGTACCAGGGTGCGTATCTCGCAGCTTCACACCTGCGACGAAGACTTCTCTACTACACGGCAACTCGCCTCGAAGCCCACGAGCAGGATCTTATGCTGGGTCGAAACGCGTGGAGGGGACATCAGACCCGCCGCCCCCTTCTCCTCTTCTGTGTCTTGAAATGGCCTACGGACATCCTTTCCTGCCTGGTTGTGCTCCATCTTTCAAGAAGAATCCGTACGTCAACTGGTCTCGGTCCCCACGCGGAACCCATCCCGGTAGCCGGGAACCCCGGTCCGGCACCTGCTCGTACGCCAAAACGGCCAGGGTATGGCCACTAGGGTCAACGGCTTGGCAACCAGCCAACGAGGACGGGCGCAGCCTTTTTTTCGCCCCCAGCTGCCGTGCATAAATAGCCAGGGCTGTATTCCTATTCCTCTAGCTCATTCCAGGATGCCACGCCGCGGTTGAGAGGGGGTGTGTGTGTCGAGCTCACGTCAGACATGCGTACCTGTACATGTATGCCTCTGAGCATGACTCGAGAGGAACACCGGTGAGGGGGCAACATGGCGTATTCGCGGAATACGCTCTCACCTCCACACGCTAAGCGTATACCGCTGATGTGCGGGATGCTGTGTACTAGTATCGAGCATCTCATAAAGGCCACCTGTAACGGATGGGGTAGCTCGACTCGACTACTATCGCTGCTAGTGCGGGACATGGCTGTACATGTGATCGTATAATCATATACAGTACGATATTACATACCCGTTACGAGTCGTCTGTATATTGATATTAATAATGGCAATCTGTCCTTGCGGTTCCTATAATCCGTATACGGTACGAGTGCAGATTACAGATTACATGTACACAGACGGACTCTAGTTTATCCGCATAACCCGACTATGCATGGACCGTCAGCTTCCTACTCTTCGCACATGTCCAGACGTTGGCGTTCGAGGAACCTTGCTCCATGTGGATAAGCATGCGACATTTTACTCGCGGCGAATGGAGGGTAATAGCGAGTCATCTGTGGTATATATCATACAAGTATCTGTCTGTCTCTGCCCGTTATTGGAGCCTATTGGCGACCGTGCCGTGCCGTCAGGGGGAGGCAGGATTTGAGACAACTGCTCCACCCTTGAAGAGACAACTATCGCTCCCTGCTCCGCTCTTCTTCAAGAGACAGCTGTTCAATCGAGGGTGCATTGCGAGTAAGAGTATCCGTGCGGCATGCGATGTGCAGGTTGCGAGTAACCGCTGCTGTGAAATGATGATGGCAGCAGCAGCAGTCGTCTGACTACCCGACTGACTCCCCATACAGACCAGACCACCCATCTGACACGGCACAGATTAGCCCGACACAGGATTATTATTGCACCGTAGCATCCGTCATAACTCGTCCCACCCAGCTATACGTATCGTATCATCCGTCCAGGACGCAGGTTGACAGCCCACATTCTGCGGATTCTGTGGGGTCCACGGGCACAAGGGATATGCGTCTGGATAGATACGCCGTTGCTTGGATGCTAGGGCCTAGGACGGTAGTACCAATATGGATGACCCGCACGAGACCGGGATCGTGCGAACGACAGGCACTTCATTGGATCATGTCCAAAACACTCCCCATGCGCCATGCCAACTACGAACCCATTGTTATCCATATTCCTGAGCAAGTTCCTCTCTGCCCGGTGCTGCTGCTCGGCGTCCTTGCCGGAAGGAGGCCTGAGTGTTGTGAGGCCGTGAGTACGTACCCGGACGAGCTAGGAGTTTCACCAGAGAGTAATCTGTGTACAGTCCTTCCTTACCCCTGAACCCAGGCTCTCTCTCTCTCTCCATCTACCTGTACTATCTGTACGGGTAGGCAGTGTGCATGTATTGGTCGGTATACATCCACCTGGACGTATGTATGTTAGCTGCATCGCAGCTTGCCGACCGCAGGCTTTGTCGTATATGACTCCGTGTTCACGGCAGTTGTCTCACGGTCGTTAGGCTAAGCTTGCATGCCATAATTTGCCGTGGCTATTGAAACGCGGGAAATTTGTATTTAAAATCTTACCACTTCGTCTCCCCTACCTTTTCTCCTCCGGCCATCTTCCCGTCGTGGAAAACCGTGCACTTTCCGGAGAAGAGAGAAGATCGTTTTATATTGCTACCCTGATTCGACTATACATCCAGGAACTTCCCCGATCATAAATCACAAAAACAGAAAAGAAGAGAAGAATGGCTTCCAAAGGGACCCCGGTCGACATCTCGGTCGCACTCGCCCCCAATGACGCTGACAGCATTCCTCGTCTGGTGAAGGAGCTCCAGGAGGAGGTGGCCTCCCTGGCTACCGGTGGCGATGAAGCCCGTCATGAGCTGCTGCTCAAGGCGCGCACCTTGACCCAGGCCCTCGAGACCCCGAGGGAGACCATGATCAAGCACTGCTGGGGCCAGGTGAGTAGACTGATGTGGCCCCATTGCTCCCATGCAGCATAACATGTACATCGACGACCATGACCCGGACGCTGACCTGATGCAACCTCAGACCGGTGCCCTCGCTGGCCTCAACTTCGGCGTCGACACAGGGCTCTGGAAGCTCATGGCCGAGAATGGAGACAAGCCCCAGAAGGTTGCCGACCTCGCGGCCAAGATCGGTGCCGACCCGGCCCTACTAGGTATGCTTCACCACCACCACCACCACCACCACCACCACCACAGACCCGTTCCCGTCGGCCAAGCCACGGCGCGCACGCACTGCCATCTGACGATGCTGATGATGCCTGCCACGAAGCCCGTCTTCTGCGCCATCTCGGTGCCATGGGATACCTGAAGGAGACCGGTGTCAACGAGTACAAGCCCACCAACTTTACCAAGTCCCTGAGCATCCCCATCATCGGCAACGGGTACCTTGCCATGTAAGCCCTCTCCCTCCCGAACCACACACTCTCTTCTCCCCACAGACCGGGCTTTTTCGAGAGGGGGGGACTGACGACGAGGTCGATTGTGCGTGAATCTGCAGGACGTCTTGCACCGGTGCCGGCCCGCTTCGCTTCCACGAATACTCGCGCAAGCGTGGGCACAAGAACCCGTCCGACGCCAAGGACACGGCCATGATGTACGCCTACAACACCGAGCTCGACATGTTTGCGTGGCAGCAATCTCTGGGCTACGGCACGCACTTCAACGACCACATGGGCGGATACCGCCAGGGACGCCTCCCCTGGATGGACCCCAAGTTCTTCCCCGTCAAGGAACGCCTCATCGACGGAGCCGACACGGCACCCGACGCGCCCTTCCTCGTCGACATCGGCGGCAGCGTCGGCCACGACCTCGCCCAGTTCAAGCAGTACCACCCGTCGCACCCCGGAAAGCTGATCCTTCAGGACCTCCCCGTGGTCATCGGTCAGATCTCCGACCTGGACCCCACCATCGAGAGGATGGGCCACGATTTCCTCGCTGAGCAGCCGGTCAAGGGTGAGTACACACAACACACACGCACAATTCCAGGATGATCTACGCGAGCCCGAGGCGTCTCCTTGCGGGCGGGGTAGAATCATTCCTCTCCTGCCACCTCCGCTGACTGCTCGGTCCTATAGGCGCCCGCGCTTACTACATGCACTCCTGCCTGCACGACTGGCCCGATGATGTGTGCCAGACCATCCTCGAGAGGATCAAGGAGGCCATGAAGCCCGGATACAGCAAGCTCCTCATCAACGAGAACGTCATCCCCGACCGCGACGCCTGGTGGGAGACCTCCGCCCTAGACATGGTCATGCTGACCCTGTTCTGCTCCAAGGAGCGTACCGAGGCCGACTGGTACCACCTCCTCGAGGAGCTTGCCGGTCTCAAGATCGTCAAGATCTGGTCCGGTGGCAAGGGCGTCGAGAGTCTGATTGAGGTCGAGCGCGTCTAGATGCGTGCGTCCAGTACATAGGCGACATGTAGTATCATTCACTGCTCGACACCATGACAATACACACACACACACACACAAGAGTGGCCACATCGGTCAATTCGATCACCCGTCTCATCCCGTGATGCCGTGAATGAAGCCTGCCGAGATCCGCAGCCTGATATGATTGTGCTCGCAGTAGTGTAGTGCCACAAGAGTCATCGTTGCCCAAGACACGCCGCACGCCGCACGCCTCCCCCCTTGTTCGTCCTAAGTCTTCAGGACACCAGTGGGGGGGAGGGGTAGGGGGACACGTGGTAAACCCAAGAGAAGACGTGAGGGGTCGTGGCCCGCGAGGGACTATGCATGGAGGCGGTGAGGATCAGGAGCCATGTACGTTACTCTGCAATGCAGGCTGGCATCCATCAATGTGACCCTGCCGAAGAGGGCCCAGAGCTGACACACGACAAGGGGCTGCAGGTGTACCACGTTGTCCGTCACGCCAACGCCGTACCGTCAATCTATTGCGCTGCATCGTAGAGATATGATGACCCTACACAGAGACCAGCACTCCCCGGATGTTGTTGCAGAGCCCTCAATCTGTATTGATGCCTGGGATACCGGTAGTTAGGGGGCAGTCGACATCTGCGCAGTTGGGACTGAATGCGACTCGGCTGCATACGGTTGCACATGCAATACTCCGTACACGTGTACATGTATGGTATAGCCGTCAATGCAAGGTGGTAAGCCTCACGATCCCCCCCCCCCCCGCTTTTGGGTCGCGTTGACATTGAGTTTGGTGATGTGTAATTGATGGCAGTTGATAACTACCTTGCCCAACGTCTCGGCACTCGGGCCAATCTCCCTGATGATACGTCGAGGAGTAAAGGAATGTATCGATACTACCTGTACGTATCTGTCATCGCTCTCTCTCTCTATGGTGTCACGGAAGAGGCCACGATGCCTTATTAGGAGCATGAGGGAGCATACGTTAGAATAATATATATACGTAACATGGGCGTTTGAGGGCGGATCTCCAAAGACAGTCTGGGCCCAATAGAACATCAATTTCGATTCCCGTATTATTACATCCACCTTTTCCACCTTTTCTCGGTGCGCACCCATCATGTCCTCTTGATAAACTCCCGCAGTGTACCTCCATCATCTCCCGCAAAGATGCCGCTCCCATCAGGCTGGGCGGAGACCTGCCTCTGAGTCCATCAGTTCAGGGCGTGGATCCAGTAATAGCCACTCTCGCGCTGATTGACTGTGAAGTTCTCGAACCCTTTGTGATGCGCAACTTTGGCGTGAAACTTCCAACCTGAATCGTGGCTCAGAAAGCCTCCCGCACCAGGGTTGTGAAAGCCTCTGAAGCCCCTCTTCTCTGCACAGTACCACATATAGCGGTTGGGGGTGGGCTTGCCGGGACTCTATGGCGCCCACGTCTTCCAAGGCACAGGTTGCCGTTGCTGTCCGAGGCTAGAACGCGGTTGTGGGATGTATCGACAATCATCAACATGTCCCCCGGGAGAGGGCTGCACATCCGGGTCATGGTGAACGATCCGATCCCATATTTGCCGTCGCGGTACAGGAACGTCTGTGCGTCTCTCCCGGGCGGGTGCGGTTTCGCGTTTTCTGACGAACGCAACCAGTAATCTATCGATACATCATCCCCAAGCGCTTCGCTTCGGTGGTGGGAGTGTCTGCTCCATCGACCGTGGACAGGGCGCTCATCGTTGCCGTCTCTGAACTGTGTGCGTCCATGTCAACGTTCCTGCTTCGCGACCGGTGCGTATCTCGCTGATGTGGTTTTTCCCTGGTGGTTGTGGCCACCGGTTGGCATCAGGTGAAGTAGAAGACGATGTATGATCATATCATTATTCACTACAGGATCGTGTATGCTCTATAGCTCTTTCAGATTCCAATTTTTGGATGACGACACGCTGAGGTTATCTACCCCGCACGCGCTGTTTCTGCGTTTGCATCCGTGAGTCAGTCCAAGTAAAAAATTCTAAACCGTCTCAGCTCTTTCAATATTCTCCTCGCCCATGGATCAGTGAAACCATCATCAGAAGACAGGACCAGGAGTCATTACCAGACCGGACACTAGGGTAGCTTCCTCGTTGATATGATAGTTAAATAATGTTGCTACTCCATATCTCGTCCCCACGCCCCGCCTCATCAGGTGTCGCTGTGTCGGGATCTCCACATGAGACTTGCGATAACAATAGACTGAGTGGGACATGTCAGATTGGACGCGCTACCTCATGAAGGAAAGGTCATGATTTCTTGCACATGCATAGGATACACAAACGTGTCAGAGCAATCAATGTTGATTCTCTCAAGTTCGCGTTTTTTTTTCCCCCGGGCTTCCACAGGACGCTGTAGATGATGGAGAGAGACATGATCGTGTTCGCTTTCTTTTCTAATTCCCAGTCGCGGAGAATGGTAGTGGTAGATACTGTACATGTAGTTTACAAGCGCCATCCATATCCTGTTCACCCGTACCCTTTTTTTTTCTTTCAAACTAGTTGCAACCGATTCCTTCTTGACTCCTTCTTCGCGAGCATCTACTCGCCGTCGTCTTTGCGCTTCTGACGCAGCTCCTCCTCCAGGTCCCACGGTTGTAGGAGTCCCTGGAGGTCTGCGAAGACCTGCTCCGTAAGGTCGAGCTCGTCTTCTTCGCCAAAGGTAGTCGTTCCAAATTTGTCGCTCGTGGCAGGCGGATCGTCATCGTCTGCAAGGGCAACATCCCCGGGTGCGGAGCTGGGACACAGGCTGCTGGTAGACTTCTCCGTCTCCTGCGACGGGACGTTGTCGGAGTTATTGTCGAGGGCTGACGTCTCGCCTGCTCGCCTAGCCATGGCGTTGAAGTGGCCATTGAAGTCGGCATTCTCAGAAGTCGGGAGGTCCGCGACGGAGGCATTGGGAGGCGGCGACATGACAGCGCGCCTCATTTCCGTACCCTCATCCTGGGCGACCCTGCCGGATTCGTGTGCCTCACCTCCTGGAAGGGGTGCAAATGACACACGCTTCGTAGCCTTGGAGCGGGTCGAGGTCTTCACGGCAGAAACGATACCCCTTTTGCCTTGGCTGGGCTGAGCTTTGCGGGCATGGCGCTCGGGCGACGGCGTCATGAAAGCTGCAAATGGCTTGAAGAGCAGTAGCGTCTCGGGAGTCGAGGGCGGCATCAGCTTGAGCGGCTTGCTGGGGCGAGGTTGGGGAGTGGAAGGATATTGGGTCATCGGACCATCTTCGGTCAGAGGTAGCTCGGATGACTGGCCGGGAGCTCGCATCGCTATGAATGGAGCGGTCGTTGCTTCGGAGAAGCCGGGGGGGCCCTTCATCGTATGTAGCCTGTCTAGGGTTCGTACTTCTTGGTTCGACACGATGCCACAGTTTTCGCCATCTGATGGACCGGGCGGCGGGTCTGGCCGTGATGACATTGTCGCAGCAGGCAAGAGAATGTGCATGTTCCGTCCAGGAGTTCCCGGATTATGGCCGGGAGTCTCCAGGTCCTGTGCTGGAGGGTTGGATATCGAAGCTTCTGTAGCATCTTCCCCATCGAGACCACGTGCACCGAAAAAAGCCACGTTCGACATGGCTGCGTGTACTGCCTCTGAAGGATCCCCTACCTCCGTGCCGGCCTTCTTCGGATGATCGAAAGCTTGTTCAGCCATATCCACTGTGGGCTCTGTAACCTCTGCGACTTTTGCGTCCCCAAGAGCTTCATCCGTGGGCATTACCGACCCCTCGGGCTCGATGGCATTACGAACCGCGGCCACCGCCGAAGGTAGTTCGACAAGATCCTTCTTCGTGGGCGAGTTGCCCCAGGGAACCAGAGGTACAAGCTGTTGAATGATGCCTTTGAGTGACAGGTAGGAGGATTGAGACTCCACTGTGGCATCTCGCTCTTGCTCTTCGACGGAAGCGGGGGCCTGCTCAGGCACTTCCCCCTGTTGTTCTTCCAAGGTAGACTGTGCATCCACATAGGACGCGGGCGTATCAGGTTCATCGTCATCAAGACGCTCTGCTTCTAGAGCGGCGTCCTCATCTCGTTCTTGAACTTCTTCCGTCAGGGCGTCATGAGCGCACTGAGGTTGTTCGGGTTCGGGCTCGGGGCCGAGATAGCTCGAATCTCCACTGGACGACGTCTCATGCCATTCCTCGCCCTCCGAGCTGACGGCGTTCCAGATGAGTGATTCTTCCATGAGCTGCCTGTCAACCCCCTGGAGAGCATCTTGGAGCTCGGAAGCATCTGTCAGGCTGCCATCGGAAGAGTCGTCATCCACGGCTAGGGCTTCGTGGGAGGTTGCCTCCTGAACCGACTCTTCCCCGACACTAGATTCTCCATCCGTTTCCGTCTCAGCTGTATCCACTCCGATGATGCTGCCGATCTCCTCATCGCTACTCAGTGCGCTGGATAGTTCGCTGGACTCGTCTGGTAGGTGCTTGTATATAGCATCCGAAGTGTCGTCCACGACGAGGAGAATTTCGGATCCCGTGACAGAGCTCATGGATTCTATACTGCTAAGCGGAGAAGACTCCCGTTCATAACAGGCCTGCGGCTCATCGAACCTGGGGGCCTCGGCAAGCTCCCCGATGATGTCCTTGCCGGGGCGTTCGACCCCCCTCTCGACGGGGACCCCAGCGACAGGGTTTTCATGTGAGACAGGCTCAGAGCTATCATCTTGCTGGGAATCGATCTGGGGAATGGCGCTCTCATCGAAATCCTCGTTGACGGTAGTGTTGGCGTCCGTCTCGTCGTCGTCATCCATGCTGTCATCGGACTGTACCTCCTCGACCTGCACAACGTTTTCTTGGCCATTTCTCAGAGGGCACGGTGTTGACCGCGCAAGTATAAGTGCACTGTTCACTGGTCCGTCGTCGGAAACGGGCGAGGAGAGGGTCGCAGCGGCCTTCTGATCGGCGAGCTTGTCGTGGGCCAATTCGTCCTCCGAATCCACAGAATCCTGTACGTTTGCCGTCCGGAATGCACGCTTTGGAGAAACACGCTTGGCTGAGGGGTAGAGACGGCTTGATTGGGTCGCGAACGACGTGTCGGGCCCATCCATAAGTTCATCTTCGTCTTGGTCCAGAGCTGTAGATCGGAGAGGCGGGTGGTTTTTGATGGAAAATTCCCGGCTACCGCAAGCCATATTCTTGAAGGCTCGAGTGCTTTCCTGGGGCGTACGGATTGACGAGGGAGGAATGGCTTGCTGCCGACGCTTCCGTGGCGTTTCCGTGCCCCCCGACTCTTTGCCACCTAGCTTCCTCTTGCTCGGCGACCTGCGAAGCCAGTTGTGGCGGTCGGTGCTCTTCTTCAAGACAGGCGACCGTCCGCTGGAGGGTGATTGGGCTGCTTCCTCCCAGAATTCATCCCGACCGGCCTCTGACGGCTCAACAGTGCTTCTCCACTTCTGCACGCGAGCGACCTCTTCGTCTTCGAGAAAGGGGTGCTGCTCAACAGAGACCTGCTTAAGGCTCTCCGGACTTGGGAGGTGGCACTGGGCGGCATCTCGCCGCTCAGGCTTCAGAGACTCGTACCGATTCAGCTTCTTGAAAGGTGAAGTAACTTTCGAGATGGGGGGTGCGGTATCTCGGCCTGTGCGTCGGTTCGATTTCCATGGGTTGGTCCATTCCGTTTCGAACGGGCCTCTTAATGTTGCAGAGAAGAGAGGGGGCGACTGTCCCGAAAGGAAACGTCTTCCGGCTTCTTCGTACCTGAGCTTGCGGACTTGGTTGCTCTCGTAACATTCGTCTTCGGACCCTTCGTAAAAGATGTCTTCGGGATCGCAGGTCGCCTCGGAGTAGATGGTGTCTCGGCCCCAAAAGCTAGTGGGAGCCATGGCGAAAAGTATATGGCATAACTTGGCCCAAGAGACAAGTATCTAGTGAAGCTACAAGTTCAGACAGCGATATGTGGAGATGATTGTTTGTTCAACAGCAAGTTACTGCCTGGGATTGGAGTGGCAGCCGTAAGGGTTATCTGGGTATTAAATGAGGCTGGCACCGACATTCACGTCGCGGTCCAAGACGCGTCTCACGCAGTCACGTGAGAGCGTGTAAAGTGGCTCAGCCACTGGGTTTCGAACAACGTTTGGCGGTTGACGAAGCCCGCGATGGGAACTCGACAATATTAATTCACAGATATACACCATCAGTTCATTGATAGAATCTATCTTAGTCTTGTTATAAAAAAGAAGATTTCATTGCCCGGTTTACCCATGGTCCTACTCTCCCTAATGGTAGAGTCACGTGATTTTGGACAAAGGACTCGGTTGGCTGGGCAACTGCAGTAGCCGACATAATGTTTGCACCATGTTTACTTCCTTGACTGTATTGTATCTGACTGTGTATCTTAACATCCCAGTAGCAATATTACCACTAGGTAGTAGTCCAACGCGACAAGCCCCATCGCGACTTGAAGAGCACAATCACCCAACATATAACTTCGCTTCTCCATTCTTCCCCTTGATAACCACTAGAGTTTCAGTTGGTCTTAAGAGTTATATCATACCGATTTTTCTTTCTTTCATCCCACGCGCAGCATTGGCTCATATTTCACCGATACTTTTCCCAGCTCGACCACGATAAACACAACCCGGCCTCAACGCGCGACCCCGCCAAAACATATTGTTTATATGGCGACAGTATAACATCTATCGATTTTCAACGCCCCAACCGTTCCCGACATGGAACACGCTTGGCTGGACTCGCTGTCAGAAGACTGGATTTCCCAGCCCAACTCCGACAACTCTGATATTCAGCTGCCGCTGCCGTCCCCCAAGTCTGTGGAGAAGCCACACACGCGTGACCTGTCTGGTCGCACTGCGCCAAAGAGCCCGAGCTCGGGAGTAGCGCCCCAACCAGAAACAAACGATGCTTGCGGAAGCCCTCTGAGCGAGCGCAGCGCCAGCGACATCAACATGCCATGGCGCCGCATACCTTCGAAACTGTCGCAAGAAATCAAACTTCCGCCCAACCAAGGGGCTTCAACCTCATCGTCGAACGGCTCCGTTATCCATAACACAGTCCAGCATGAACCTTCCCTTGGCGAAGCAGGAACAGGTGCGACGCCGGAATGGAAACGGCGCCTCGTGGACGGGGCCATGGACTACGGTGAGCAGCGGGACCTGTTTTGCTCTGCGGCCAGCGGTCTTCAGGACATGTTCAGGCCACCTGCCGAGCACCCCACGATCCCAGAGGAGAAGGAGGAGGGGGAGGAAGCAGGGGAGATGCCAGAACACGAAACCACCATGCCCTCGAGTCCCCCGCTCTTTGCGCGCCGCCGAGCTAGTACCGAACTCGAACAAGAGGTCAGCACGTTGGAGGAAGCAGAGGACGAGCCGGACAACCCAAACGACGTCACCCCCAGTCCCAGTCCAAGGAGGGCTCAGCGGGAGATGAAGTATAGGCTCAACATCGAAGACCTTTCGGGCGTGGACACCCCTTCGAACCCACCGGCGAACCGCCAGAATGCCCGCGGTCCTGAAGATGTCGAGATCTTCCGGGACGCAAGCTGCCTCAGTGCAGACATGGGAAATGCTACCAGGAAGACTAGCGGCCAGAGTGATACGAGGAACGAGGACTTCAGCCCCATCCTGATCGGCAGGCAGAGCAACGACGACGGCAACATTGGCTTCGTGCCGCTCGACTTCCCCGCGGACCAGCTTCAGCAGAAGCTGGAGCGCCTCCGCATCAACCAGACCCTCTGGGACTCCCAGGCCGACATCCAGGAGGCGTTTGACGAGGAAGGCGAAGGGTCTAGGAACCTGGATACCTCGGAAGAATTCGGCAGGCAAGGAGGCTACATCAATTTCAGGCGCGGCGGCAGATCCATCGAGGACTCGTTCCGTCATCGCCCGCTGAGCCCCGGATTTGTCGCTGACACGTCCGAGATGCTCCCGGAAGAGTCCCTGCAAGCAAGCACGCCGAAGCAGTTCCCCACAATCAGGTCGGTAGCTACGAATCCCTACGAGAACGCAGACCCCCCGAGCCCGTCACTGCCCCGGGCGCCTTTCCCGAGCCCCGACAAGCGACAGGTGAGCCTGTCCAAGCGTGATAGCCAACAGGATCAGTCAACCGGCAACCCCCTCAAGCTTTTCGGACCCTACGACACCTTCACCAACCAGACTCTCCTCCGACGCATCAGCCAGTTCGAGGACGGCTCGTCCGCCGAGCTCTCAGAGGACTCTGCGCTGCCTCAAGCTGCTTACGTTGAGCGTAGAGAGTCTTCTACCGAGACCAAGGCGGGACCTTCCAGCAACCCACCGAAGCTCGTGTCGCGCCCTCTGTCCGGGACGTTTGGCGGCGGCAACCTCGAGGGTTACCAGTTCAACAGCAATGTGTCTTATTCGGCGGACGAGTCAGGCTTCTCTGCAAAGGAGAACGTCTCGCCATCACTGCAGCCGCCCTTCCACTTTGTAGTAGAGGAAGGGTCACCGGGTGAAGAGTTGGAAGTCACGGCTCTCAGGAGACGAGAGAAGTTGAGATCGATATCGCTTCGAAAGCACTCTAAAAGCTCATCGATAAAAGGCATAAGGCCAATGGGCCTAGCTCAGTCGTCCCCCTATGCGGATAACATACTGAAGTACGACCTGGGCTGGGAGAGCAAGCGGCCTAGGACGTCGCCGTCAAAGGACCCGACACCGAAACGCAGGCGAACGCTCCATCGATCTGATATCGCGTATGGCCGGGAGAATTTGACCGGCATTGATTTTGCGAGCCAGAAGATCCAGAACATCATGGGCAAGAAGAGACGCGACAGCCGCCCTGCTGGCCTTGACTCTAGTGAGTCCCGGGTATTGGCAGGTCGGTCCAATCTCGTCCCCCACACACCGAGCAGCAACATCAAGCCAGGTGCATTCGGCCCCGAAGACGATGATGACGGGAGCACGCTGGCGGAGGCACTGCGCAACTCTCCCTACCGCCAGGACAGGTCTACGGCGAACGACGCTGCAGATGGAGTGAGAAAGCCCTCGATCCGGACACAGGACTTTGTCGACCAGGCCGCGCAGATTATGGCTATGATTCGCAACCAGGTCCATCCTACCGGATTGTCAAGCGTCGACGAGTCCGGCGCGGAAAACGTGGAGCTCAGTCCCAGTCTGTCGAACGATTTTGGGTCAGAGTCTACTAGGGAGCCCCTCTCGCGGCCACCCAGCCGCGAAGGCAAGTCGTCGGTATCGCGCCCTCCGCTGCGGCAAGAGGACCCTACGCTCTCCGACAAGCTCAAGAAGTACCAGGAAGCCAGCGATATCGGTGACATCATCTCTTCTTCCATCCGTTCTCTCGGACTGGCAAAGGACGCCACGCTTGCAGAGAAGTTCGCCGTCAACAAGGTCCACGAGGACCAGCAGCGCTGGTCAAACCGTGCGCTGCCGGCAGAAGGGGGGGAGCTCATCAGCGACATACCAAACGTACGCATCTCCACAAACCCAGCCCGCGACGACTCACCCCCAGGCCCCCACCGCGACTACGTCTCAGAGGGTTCAGGCATCTCGACGAACCGCTCGTACCCGACCGGGTCCTCGAGAGGGTCCGATTCAAGACGGGTCATCATGCCAGAGAGCATCTCCCACCTCATCCCGGAGCGGGTGGGCAGCATGCAGCTGGACCGAGGCAGCCACATGTGGATCAAGAACAAGGGGCCGCGGCCTGCTCAGACGCCCAACGTGCTCCCCTCGGACAGCGAGGAGGACCCGTTCGCCAGCATCCCCGATCTCACCGTTGACCTCAGCAAGGAGATGCAAAATCTCCGGCTCACCAGTGCGCGGAAAGAGCGCGGCTTCTACTCGCCAGAGCAAAAGCTGCCACTCTCTCGGGGCCTGGCGGTGGCTGTCCCTGGACAGGCCAAGAAGGGCTACATCCCACAATATCCCGAGGCAGCCCAGAGCCTTGGCATTGCCCCCACCCCGGGAGACGACGAGTCAGAGCAGGCGGACAGGCCACCAGCAGCCAGACCGGCCCGGCGCGACGCAGAAGCCAGCGACAGCGACGACAGCCTAGAGGACTCGGCTGGGAAGGTCCGCCCACGCAACGTCACCATCTCATTCTCTTCGCCGGTGGCATCCATCATCCAAGACCCGCGACCGAAGAGCAAGGACAGCAACCTGGATGAGGATGTGTCGCCCGAGGGCAGCCCCCCCGGGCAGCACGTCCCCAACCATGCTGCTGCCACCGGAAGTGCCAAGTCTGCGCTCAAGAACGGCGGCACGGTGCAGTCCCGGCGCGACGGGTTCGTCCCCCGTCCCGTGTCGCGCATCGACGAGCAGGATGAGGACAGTACTGTGGAGCTCCCTCACCACGAGAGCAACAACCAGCAGCTCAGCATCCTCGGCGAGACTAGCGTCATGAGCCACAGAACACCAGAGTGCCGACACACCAGCCTCAGCTTCATCTGGAACGGCACCCCGGGCAACGGGGCGCTCTCCGTCAGGGGAGACGACAGTGCCGTTATCGGGCAGAACGTGGGGAGGCTGTCCCTGAGCCCGCTGTCCGAGTTTACCCTGCACACCGCGGAGCGGCCGTGCGGGTTCGAGGTCAGCTATGTCATGGGGCAGCGGCACATGGAGACGGGAGACGGCAGCAAGAAGGTGCTGTCCATGGCGATTCGGGACCTGGTGGAGAAGCTCGCCGAAGCCGAGCCCTGCGAGCCGTTCTGGGAGGACCTGGAGGAGCTGGACCTGCAGGGCAAGAAGCTGACGAGCCTCCACACACTGGACGAGTTCTGCAGCAAGGTGGTCACGCTGAACGCCTCCAGGAACGCGCTGGGCCACCTGGAAGGCGTGCCGCAGAGCGTGCGGCAGCTCAAGGCATCGCAGAACATGCTGACGGAGCTTACGTCGTGGGACCACCTGCAGAACCTGCAGTACGTCGACGTGTCGGGCAACGAGCTCGGCAGCCTGTCCGGACTCAGGAACCTGGTGCACCTGAGGAGCCTGAGGGCCGACAACAACCGCCTGACGAGCCTCGGCGGCCTGGACTGCCACGACGGACTTCTCTCCCTCCGGGCTCGCAACAACGAGATCGAGGAGGTGGACTTTGCGACGCTGCAGCTCTCGCGGCTGACGGAGCTCGACCTCGCAGGCAACCGGATCGGCTCGGTCCAGAACCTGGAGCTGGCGCCGCAGCTGGCCAGCCTGAAACTGCCGCGCAACCGGCTGGACAGGCTGGCGGTGCGGGGCAGCCTCAGGATGCTGCGACACGTCGACATCAGCGACAACGACGTCACAACGCTGGACGTCAGCGGGCTGCCGGGGCTGCACTCCCTCCTCGCGGACCGGAACCGCATCAGGTCGCTGCACGGCTTCAGCCGCGCGCGGCGCCTGGACAGCCTGTCACTCCGGGAGCAGCGCGGGGACGGGGTGATGAAGCTCGACTTCCTCGCCGCGGCCTACGAGATCCGCAAGCTGTTCCTGTCGGGCAACTACCTGGGCACGTTCTCGCCGCAGGTGGACTTCCTGAACCTGCAGTTCCTGGAGCTGGCCAACTGCGGGCTGGAGTCGGTGGCGGCGGACCTGGGCCAGCTGATGCCGAACCTGCGGACGCTCAACGTCAGCTTCAACGCCATCTCGGACCTGTCGCCGCTGCGATACATCCCGCGACTGAAGAAGCTGCTGGCGGCCGGCAACAGGCTGGCCGACTCGACGGCGGCGACGGAGCTCCTGACCGACTTCCCTCACCTGACGCAGCTCGACGTCCGCGACAACCCGATGACGATGGGCTTCTACGCGCCGCTGCAGGTCCTCGTGCCCACGACGGCGACGGCAGCAGACGACGACGACGACGGCGGCAGCGGCAGCGGCAGCAGCAGCAGCAGAAACAAGTCCGGCATCGACCCGTTCGCGCTGCCCGATGCCGACGCCGAGAGGGACGACCTATTCTCCCGACGACTGGATCAGACCACCAGGTTGAGGCGACGTCTGCACCAGGTGGTGTTTTCCGCCAGCTGCAAGAGGCTGCGCAAGCTCGACGGCCTGACCGTCAGACGGGACAAGGTCCTCGCTCAGGACGAGGTCCTGTCCACTCTTGTCAACGAGGGTCTACTGCCCAAGCTGGACAGCACCGACGACGGATCTCCCGAGCAGAAGCAGCAGCAGAAGCAGCAGCAGAAGCAGCAGCAGAAGCAGCAGCAGAAGCAGCAGGGTGAGGAGAAGAGAAAGGAGTGATGGATGGATATACTTTTTTTTTTTGAGCTTGTTTTCTTGCACGTAATGATTGATGTACGAACTGGCGTTTCTTGTCTTAGAGGGTGGGGGGGAGGGCAGTGGATGTTTTGCTTCTTTCGTTTGAGGGAGAAGTAACTTGCAAAAAAAAAAGGAGTTTTTTCTTTGTCTGTTTGTTTGTCTGTTTTGTTTTTGGTCTCTTCTCTTCTCTGTTTTTATTTTATATCCATAATTCATTATACAGGAACAACGGAATGGCTAAATTGGGGGGTTGGGGGTTAGGGGTTGGGGGGGGTTCGGGCCCGGTTGGGTAAGGGACACTTTATGGAAAGAAGATCATGTGAATACTATGAGAAATGCATTTCGGCGTTGATTTTACCGTTTTATGATCCGATCACTCTCCGTAGTCCTCTCTCTCTCTTATCATGTTTTACACTCGGATTGATCTGGGCATGATGAAAGATGAAAATCCTCTTTTTGCGTGTACATATTAGAGACTCGACATGGTGACTCATCAAGGGACTGGGGAAGGGATAGGTATGGACGGATAGGGAACAGGACCTTGGCCAGCCCCCGGGTGTAATGGGTATAAAACGCCAAACGGCCGCGTCTGCAGAACGTGGCTCTCTCTCTCTCTCTGTGCGTGTGTGTGTGTGTGTGTGTGTGTGGCTGCGGACCCCCCCCCCCCCCCCCCCCCGCTTGGACCAAGTGTCAGGGGATACGGTTCATGCAGATGCATGCTGCTTGCTATTATTCTATTCACTGTTAGTGCTCGAGGTCGTTGATATTCTATGCATTATAGCGTCGGGATGACATAAAATTACCACCATCCTACACGGTCCCATGGTAGGTGGGTGGGTTACCGTTACATATAAGAGTACGGATACTCTCATCAACACTCCCGATGCTGACCAGCATCCGTAGGACTGCAGCTATGAGATGGGGGGATGATGCTGTGGATGGATTGCTTTCAGCGAGATGACGCCGTTCTTAGCACATGGATGGAACTGAGGACCGTAGGCCAAGCGCCGTAGGCCGTAGAGGGGGGGGTCAGGGGGTTAGGGGGAAAGGGCCCCAGTGGAACGGTCGCAAATACAGGGCTCTCGTCGTAGTGGCGGTAGTTTGCTGCACGGTCACGTAATACTGGACATGGCAGTGCTGCTAGGCCTTATCTAGAGAGACACAAACATGATATTACTCTGCTCGTCTGCATACGTACGTGCCCAACCTGGCCTGTCAAACCAAACACGACTCTCTCACATATCTCCCTCTCTCTCTTCCATCTGAATCCCTCTTCTCTCTCTTGAACTCGTCACCAACCCTTCCATCTTTTTTCTGCAGATCTTGTCACGAGACCGATCAACTCTGCAGCCAACGAGCCAATATTACACACGCACACGCCACGCGCCCCTCTCATCATAGAACCCCCCCC